CTCTCTCTCTCTCTCTCTCTCACACACACACACACACACACACACACACACACACACGCGCGCGCGCGCGCGTATACACGAACGCACAAGCATTCGCGCACACACGCGCGCTCGTGGGTGTTTGGCGGGTGCTCTGGTGCGGTTTGCTTCTTCCACAGAATTCTACACTTAGAATGTAGAATTCTGTGGCTTCTTCTTTCCTATGAAACATCTGTCGTCCTTATCTCCCCTTCTTCTTTTTTATGTTTGTTACTCTCTTGTAACACCTCTTATCTTCCGTCGCTCATATGACCTTATGCAGTTGCGAGCGCCGTAAAACCTCTACCAAAACACGCTCGCGCGCGCGCTCAAATCAAATTCTCAAGTCACCACGAACTCACCCTCAATAATTTATTATGGTCTCGTTTCATAAAGTTTGGAAATCGAGTAGAGTTTCCTTTTAACAAGGTGAGCTCTTCTTTTTTCCCAATCCATCTATCTGCCTATCTTATCTATCTGTCTGTCTGTCTGTCTGTCTGTCTGTCTGTCTGTCTGTCTGTCTGTCTGTCTGTCTGTCTGTCTGTCTGTCTGTCTGACTATCTAGCTATCTTTCGATCTATATATCTATCTACCTATCTACCTGTCTGTCTGTCTGTCTGTCTATCTATCTATCTATCTATCTATCTATCTATCTATCTATCTATCTATCTGAGTTATCAGTGTTGTTGTCGATGGGTTCTGTATAGTCCTGGATAACTTGCATGTTAAATATTTTACCCTTTTTTTTTCTCACGAACTGGCTTTTTGTGTCTTTTCTGCAGGTACTAGTGTTGAAAGGCATCGACAAAGGTAAAATTGGAATTGTGTGCATGCTGGTCAAAGAGAGGAACTGGTGCTTTGTAGAAGGGCTCAATTGCGTGAGTGAAATTTAATTAGTCGTGATAATGATGTTTGTTACTTGACTTACTTTTTCTAGTTCTAGCCTCGGTGTTTCCTTGCGGTGTCGAGGGGAGAAGCAAATTTAAATGTATTCCTTTTGTTTGTTATATAATCGCCTGCTGCGAGGTTATACGGGGTGCCCATTAGGGGATCGGGTCGGGACGGGGCGGTTTGCTAGCCAGATTGAGGGCTCAAAGCGGCTATCGTGGCACGAGCCGATCGCGCCCAACTCGTCACCTCAGAAACAAACGCGTTTGTTTTCAGGCGACAAGTCGGGTGATCGACCCGACCCGACCCACAATGGGTACCCGTTACGATGTTGTTCTCGATGAATGTTTCTCTGATTCTTCAGTCCATCTTCTCCTGGGCCTGCCCATTCCTCTGTTTCCGTCGTCTAATTTCTAGTTCTAGTTCTAGTGGTATCTGTCTCCGAGGTCTTATGCACCCCGCATAATTTAGTAAAATTGGATCTTTTTTTGCACAATTTCTGATTAATTTTCCTTTATCATTCTTTGTTAAAAATTAACAGAATCGCATAATTTCACATTTTTTGGCTCAGTTTGTATAATTTCAGAATTTTTTTTTTGCATGAAACCGAGGGGACAGTGGTATGCTCTTCGCTTCATTGATTGTAAATGTCGTACCTCTCTATCGACATATTACGATCATTTTGGAGGCGAGCTGCTTCGACCCTGGGCCTAACACTAACACTAACAGGGCTGAGAGGGACGTGGGGTGCGGCAACCCAGGAGACCCAGCGAAGAGACCCAATAAAATAACTTCCCGCGCAATTGTCGGCCTCTCGTCCTCTGAGTGAAATGTTGTCTGTGGTGTAGTGGTTAGGCACTTCGCTGTCGCGCTCAGCAGACCCGAGTATGATTCTCGGGTGTGGGGAAAATTTGTATCGAGTTTCTCTGTTTTTCTCCTGGGTTGTTGTATCTTGTATCTCTCTCAGCTCGGGTTAGCCGTGACAGGCAGGGTCGACAGCCTGCCTCTTAAATTATCTAGATTGTGTCAATGCGGGCGTAAAAATACCTACTTTAAAGATCAGACTCCAATATTATGTCTGACCAGTGGAAGTTACCTGCTTTTTGAGAAGCAGCTGGACCTTATCTTCTATGAATACGTTGTCTTTGTTTTTGTCGTGTGCTATTTTATCAGTTTCTATCAGTATTATATCATTGTTTAAACTTTTTTGGAAGTTATATAGTGCCTGAAATTTCATCAATTTTCACCTTTTTACCTGATGTCTTCCTCGGTGCCAACTCTTTGGTTCAGGGAGTAAATAGTAGCTGTAGGGCCTACATGTTGTTGGTTGGCGGGGGCTCTAGTGTGGTTCGCTCCTTCTTTCCTTGTAGATATCTATCGTCGTTGTCTCTCCTCCTGTGTTGTGTTTGTTTCTCTCTTGTGACACCACTAATCTGTGACATTTATATGATCTAAATTGTGTTGCAAATGCTGTAAAACGAAGCAGGGCCTACCACTAATAGTGGCACGTTGCAACCAACCACCGACATACACCCTGCCTCTTCTTTCCTTCTAAACATCTCATTTTTTGTGTTTGTTACTCCCTTGTAACACTCCTAATCTTCAGCACTAAATATTATACATGTATGACCTAATCGTGTTGCACGTGCCGTAAAACGCTCCTTTCTGGAACGAAAAGTGCAGGTTGTAGCTTTTCCTGACGATGCGCTCTTGTTGACAGAACTACAGATGGGTGGACAGGAGTACGTCCAACCCCGGAGTCTTGTCCAAGGTAGAGAAGCCTCTGCTGGTCACCAACGAGGTGGCTCTCCTTGACCCAAGTGACCAGTAAGAATTGTCCTTATTTCATTAGCTACACAGCACACTCTACTTTTCTAACCTGTTTCCCGGTTTCCAATCCCCCGGGGTTTTTTGGTTTTTGTTGGGGTTTTTTTGCACGTCTTTTGTCTCTTCCTTACCCTTCATCTTCTGCGGCCTTGTTTCATTCGCTGAAATTGCATTTTTTTTAAATTAAGTTAAAAAATCTTGGCACCTGTTTTGATTCCAGTTTGTCAATGTCAGCTTAGGTAAATTATCTGATCGGCTGCATGTAGTAAGAAATAAGAAAAAAATCAGGAAAATACATATCTAATCAATAGGCCTACTAAGTATACTGCTTTATTAGTATTAATAAATAGCTTAGTTTTATCAAGACTTGATTACTGTACCTCCTTGTTATCAGGAATATCACTGGAGAAAGTGAAGAGAATTCAAACTGTCCAAAACAGTGCTGCAAGTTTTGTTTTACAGAAAAGAAAGATAAACACGGCAACACATCTTTGACGGACACTGCACTGGCTTTCTGTTGAGAAAAGAATTATGTACAAGTTGGCCACTCTATGTCACAAATGCCTGAATGATAATGCGCCATCATGTGTATCAAAATCTGTTGTACTGTACATTCCAACTTCCAGTTTAAGGTCATCAGCTTGACAAAAAGAAAAATTTCTTTTACCATCTATGAAACTTAAAACAATGGATGAAAGGGCATTTGAATATCCAGGGATCTGGAATGCTTTGCCCAGTAGCCTTTTTTTTAGAGAGATCAGATTCTTTAATTCATCCAAATGTCAGATAAAGTCATTTCTGTTTTTAAATTAATGAGATAAATATTTAGAGAGATTTTCATTTGGTCAGAACACAATGCACTGTATGTTACTGTTGTGTTGCAAAGTGCTCAGAGCCTGTGTACTTTAATTTGGGTTGAGCGCTATATAAATGTCATATATTATTATTATAAATATATATTGGTTTATGATACTCATGTACACATTCTTATATCAGTACATGTAAAGGAATGTGAACTGGCCATGTGAAAGTGTTTTCTTCAAACACATGTATTATACATGCATGCATACATTATATTAATTAAAAGAACATGTATTCTTTATTGTTGGTTATTGTAAAGTAGAAGGATTATTTCAGCCAAATCCCGCTTTCCTTCTTTCACCTCCCCATTAATTGTTACCTTTATACAAAATCACCCATTACTTTATCTCCCTTTCCTCAATATCCCTACTCTCCTTTTAGCCTTTAATCAGATTCCCCCATTAATTAGTGTATTGATTTCAATAACTGTCACCCATCCCTTACTTATTCTTTTCATCAGAATCTCAAGTACATGTCTTCATTCTGTTACGCCAAATCTCTGACTACTTTATTTGTTTCAGCTAAGTACCCCATTTACTTTATTCTTCTTTGCCAAATATTTCTTTGACTTGAACAGTCCTTCCACTTTTCAGTGCCCACCCCCTCCCCCCCCCCACCCCCACCCCACCCCTCAAATATTATTCCTTCTATTGTAACACTCTATGATGCTGACGTGTGTTTCTCTCTCTCTCTCTCTCTCTCCCTCCCCAGACAGCCCACACAAGTGGAGTGGAGATTCGACGAGGATGGTAACAGAGTGCGCGTGTCCCTGAGGAGTGGCCGGATTGTCCCCATCTCAGAGAAGTACCTGGACGAAGCTGAGGACGGTGTGCTGAAGAGTTCCTACATTGGTAAGTATTGTCCACCTACATTGCAGTTTCCACGTTACCCTCTCGCTGGTAGGGTTGCTGCACACTCCTGCTTAAGCACACACGGTAGTCTTCACTTGTAGTAAGAGATTTACAGCTCTTGCAAGTCAAATAAATCTCGTATAAGGGCTGCGGATTAGAGGTGTTACTAATGAGTTACGTACAAAGAAATGAGGTAGAAGAGGTATGGACGATAGATATTTGATAGGAACGAGGGAGCAAACCATGCAGTAAAGTGGTCAAAAATAGAGTGCACATCAGTTCAGCGACTGTTTCTCAATGTAGGGAAAAAGTGAGATGGATGAACAAACAAAAAAATTCAGGTATCGGAAAAAATTAGGATCTACTAGTGTCGCTTTCAGATAACCTTCAGGTCTGTTTCATACTTTTGATGTATGTCATGTATGTATAAAGTTCCCATATTTGTAAAGCAATGATTTAAATTTAAGTTAATAACAATGTTGTTATCATTATCACTGGTTTCACTTCACTGTTTCTGTTTAGAAAAAAGTCCATTAATGATACAAAAATTGAATAGGAAAACGGTAGAATGACAACAGTATTGAAATTTACAGTGTTGTCAGCTGCTGTGAATTTTGAAGATCAGGTGTGGTTTTTCTTGTATTTTGTGAGTCCTGTGATAGCAATTTTCCTCATTAGTCACCCCAGTGCTACACGTGTTTAGTGCTGTAACAGCTGGGGGCTGATCATTTTGTCAGACAATGAGGCGAGAAGAAAAAAAGCAGCAGCAGGATTGACAAAATCTTTTTGTGAGGATTGGAGTCTCACTTTCCTCGTGAATTGGAGATGTTGCCCATTTAGACATACTGCTTAAAACTGAGTTAGGTAATCCCATGTAGACATAATGCACTTCACATGTCTTTGTAACCTGCTTCTTTTATGAATTAATTACACTTAACTTTCCAGCTCTAAGTGATTGTTATTGCAGTGTCAGGTAAGACTTTTTACTCTCAGACATAAATATACGAAGAAGTGAGGTGTGAGTTTTTAAAATGCAAACAGACATTGCTTTTCAGGACAAAGACTCTTTTTCTAGTGCACTCTGAATGAGTAAAGTCATAATGATGCATATGTAATGCTATGGCATGTAATTCTATGAGCTATTAAAGAACAAATGAATTGAATGAAGAAAAATACAAAGGAATAAGACAACACAAAACCTTTCCAACTGGTTCATTTAGACTATCATAGTCCGATCCTAAAAATGTTTGTAAGTCCTCATTCAGTTTTCCTCTACTTCTCACTGTTTGGTTTGGATTTCTTTTTCTTTACTTTCTCAGAGCAAAACTGGGACACAAAGGAGAAAGAGCTGACCAAAGTGACCTACAAACCTTCCCTTTCATCATTTGAAGCTGACATCATGCAGGCCATGGGCATTAAAGAGGATAGAAAAAGAGCCCCAGTATTTTACTACTGACCTCACATCTGCATTCATTCTTTCTGTACATCTGCTTTTTGCCCTGCAAAATATAAATACCATTGTGAAAAGATCATTCAATGTGTTTTCTTCTGTGTTTTCCTCTAGATCTCAGGGCTTGTCTTCAGGTGTTCTTTTTTGCAGCTAATGATGCATCTGATTTTTTCACAGGTACTCTGAGAAAACCCAGTGGAAGTTGCTGGAGGTCATGCTGAGACATTATTCAAAACAGACCATGGAATCATAGACAAACCATTTCTTAATCTTAACTCAAAATAATGATGCTCTAATATTTTTCAAATAATTTTTACCACTTACAATGAGCACATACCACAAGCCTATTTTGCAAAAATCTAACATTTTCTTTTGCGGATACGGTACACATTAATTTTCAAGTGCACTCTCAACTCTAAATCCAAATGAAAGAAGAATTTTATTTCCTCTCTGGGGAAACCCGGTGTGCATGAAAATATTGCAACTACAGAAAAAAAACATCTTTCCTTTCAACCTGTATGCTGTCTCTTGGTAAATTTTAAGTCATTTTCATTAGTAGACCTACGGCCTTTGAAGTTATTTTTTACATTTTACCAAATGCTGCAATTACACCTTAAGTGCAAAATGCCCAACAGAGCTGAATGTTACACCTCTATGCAAAAGTCTGTTTTATAATAAAACTATTCTTTACTTTCTGACAGGTCATTTCAAAGCCTTAAGTGAAACCATTAAAAAAAAATTTTTTTTGCTATTAGAAGAATGTTGTTTTCTATGCTTTAGGTTTTGGAAAGCTGAACATGATAGTAACGACTGACGAGATGACAAACTCATGAGACTGGTTAAAAAAAAGAAGGACATTTCAGCTATGCCCTCCAGCACCTATGTTCTTTAAACTTTGCAACATTCACATAGGTCTACCTTTATGCTGTGTGTAAAACTGCTGAGTAGCTGTCGACGTAAAATACGTATTTTGTGGCTGTCGCAGGAACAATGAGCAATTCCCGTTCACCTTGCTATACAGGATGAGGAAAAAAATTGGAGTTCTTCATTGATCCTGTGACACCAGCAATATAATACACATGCAGTCCACTTGAAATGAAAACGCTTAATCCCGAAACGGCAGTAAACTGAAAGGAAAAAATAATCTCAGTTTGTTTGGGTTTGGGATTTTATTCTTCTATTTTAGCAACCTCTTGAAACTGAAAACAGGGCTAAACTGAAGGAAAACTGGCAGTCCCACCGATTTCGGTTTTAAGTGGACCCCGCTGTAATTTAATCCCTTTTAAGAGACTGTCAAGCTGACACAGGTTGCTCAATATGTACAGTCAGACTTTGGGGTGGATGTCAACAGAGAAGTCTTTACAGGGAATCAGGCTTACTCTGCTCACCTCTCTAGCTTCAACAGCACAAAGTCTGCTTCGACTATCAAGGCACCCCGGAAATAGTGGGTCACAAGAGTGTAACAAACATACAAAAGAAGTAGAGGACAAAAATGATAGTAAGGATTAGGAAGGAAAAAGCAGCAGTTCCCTTTTGTAGTTCAGGCACAGTTTTGAGCGTGACGTTAGATCAGCCCATTTTCAATTCTACTGTGCATTAGAACGAGGCCTTTGAGAATGGCTTAAAGACAGCCCTGCTTACTACCAGGTTTTGCCAATGTATGAAAAGGAGCGCATTTTCGCCTTCACACCGCCATCTGTCTGAGTTGTATGGTCCTTATTTAATAAATGTAAATTTGCCTTACCACACCGCCCGCCAGATATGTTAATCATCTCTTTCTGTCATGAGAAAGACGAAGAGATTGAGTGAGAGAGAGAGAGAGAGAGAAGACGCTCAGCTCTGAATGCATGTGCACGTACGTGTATATCAGGAACAAAAAGACACTTTTCAAACACAGACCCCACAGCAGAATCATATTCCTTGACAGTCGCGACTATACGACAGAGGAACACCCCATTGAACCGTCAGACCCGCTGTTCTTCCAGCTCATGCTGGTCCCAAGTACATATATATACATGTATTTCATACAGTCGAACCTGTGTAAGACGGCCTCCCATTGTCAAGGAGAAAAGTGGCCATATAAGACAGGTGGCCGTCTTAGGCAGGACTGATCAAGATGAAGAAAACAGACCCTTCCTTTCTGAGGTCCCAACCGAGGGTAGCCGCATTGTATTTGTTGTTGTTGTCATTATTGTTGTTGTTTTCGCTGGTTTTATTATATTTTTTTCCTTTTGTTGCTACTTTTGTGTAAGGGTGACAATAAAACGAAATGTGTCAGTGCCAGACAAGGAGGACCGAGAGCTATGGTAAAACAAACACACGGGTCGCAACCATTGGGAGAACGAGCGACGCTTCTGTCACAAGTTCAAGTTAACGTGTATTGTTACTTTGTTACAGACTGGGTAAACAGTGACAACTCATCTCACGATTTGTGCATGAGTTCTGGGCGGGGCTTATGGGTTATGAGGGATCACACGCTTATCTCACCAACAGCTGAAAATATGTTATAGGTCAACAGTGGGAGGGGCCTACGCAGCATGATCGGTCGGAGGGACAACCTAACAACGACAGGTGATTGGATTACGATGGCTCGACCACAACGTCAGGGGCCAATGCACAATTTATGACAAAACATAATGGAGTTACTAAGGTGGCCGTCTAAGACAAGTTTATTGCTTGGTGTGATAGGGGTTGTGTGTTAAAATATGGTGGCCGCAGCCGCGTTGGACAGGTGCCCGTTTTACATAGTTAAATTATATAGAAAAAAACGCAAGGGGGGGGGGAGTGGCCGTTTGTACAGGTGGCCGTCTTATAAGTTATAGATAGAGATGGCCGTCAGGGCGACACTATATATATATATATATATATATATATATATATATATATATATATATATATATATATATATATATATATGCAACATCTCACCGTCCGTCAAATGTCTGAGTTGTACAGTCCTTATTTAATTATTGTAAATTTGCCAGCATAAAAACTCTCCCCACTTGGGAATCGCTTGTCTTCAGCGTGCAGCGGCAAAGCACTTCTTAATCTCTTCACGTCAGACGCCAGTATAGAAAACCAGGGAAAAAGGTGGACATTTCAACAGTGTTACACAATAACACTTTGCGCATTATATTTAGTCAATTCACTTTCTGTTGTTTTTTTTGTAAGTTTTACGGCACGTGCAATACAATTAGGTCTTTGTTTGTTTGAGTAAAGAGAAGCACATCGACACGTCACACAATAATGGTCTGTAAGTGCTGGGGAAAAGTATGACAGACAGAAAGGACAGCAGAGGGAAAGTAAAGAAGTAGGACCTACCAGTGGCACCCTCCAACCACCCGCACAATTAAGTCATATAAGTGCTGAAGTTTAGAGGTATTGCACGAGAGTAACTTTCAAAGAAAAGGAGGAGAGATAAGGACAACAAATGTTTGATATTAAAGACGAAGCAACATACAAACAAAGCTTTTCACATTGAGGTCAACAACCACAAACATCACTTTGCTCAAATTATAGAGTTCATTAACCCTTTGAGTCCTGACCTCTTGGGGCTACCGTGCCCCCTTTGCCTGAGCTCCTGAGCAATATATTACTCACATTCATAGGACCATCAGAATCACTTTCCGAATCCCACTCAGGGCAGTCCTTGTCAATACCAGCATCTAATTCAGAAAGATATTTAAAGAAATCAATGTCTTGAGTTGTAAACACCGCTTTCCGTAGGCGTTTTGTCTGAGATGGGCCGGGTTGGAGATGGGGTCTCGTTCACCGGTGGCTAGGCATATGGGCAGTTTTACGCGCCGCTGGTTGTATTTACGCGCCACCGGTGGCAAGGACTCAAAAGGTTAGTTTAGTTTTAGTAGAGGTTTTAACTTTCACGGCGCTCGCAACTGCATATGGTCATATATGAGCGCCAGAAGATTAGAGGTGTTACAAGTACAAGAGAGTAACAAACATAAAAAAGGAAGAGGGGAGATAAGGACGATATATGTTTGATAGGAAAGAAGAAGCAAACCACACCAGAGCACCCGCCAACCACCCACTCAAAAGGTTAACACCAACAGCATTCACTTCATGCTTGAGGGAAAAGGGCAGACCAAAGCCGCAAGGAAACAAAACCCAAGACACACATAGAGTAAGAGAGGACAGGCACACTTAACACAAGCTACACACCACATTAAGAGAAAAAATCCTTGTTGTCACTGGTAATTTTTTATTCATGGGAAACTCGTTCATGAAATAATGAACAAATTCTGAGAACTCACAACAAAGCTCAGATACTAAGTATGCATAAGTTATAATAACAAGAAAAAGGGCTATGTACAATCCGGCAACAAAATGATACACAGGCAAAACAGGTCATTCAAATTCAAAACAGTACATGTCAAAAGTGAGCTTCAAGTCCAATCAAGAGTAAGTGCCAGGACGCAGTTTCATCCACTGACTGCAGATTTTTTTATTGTGTTCTTTGTCAAAAGTTGTATCAGAAAAATTGAATGTAAAAATAATTTATCCCCATAAAACCATGAAAACTTTCACTGCATCTTTACTCACTCAGTACAACATGACATGAAAATAATAGCTATACAAAATTATTAGTATTGATGACTTCCAAGGACACAATGTTAAATTCTGAGCAAAAGACAATGCTATACAAAGGTACTTTTTTAAAAATTGCTGAATTGTCATGACAGGGTAGACGAACTACTGACAATACATTTTCCTCTACAACATTAGATTTTCAAAATACTGAAGTAACAACCCTACATCGAACATCCAAGGAGAATTTTGTATTTCAAGGTCACAAAAACACAACCACTTTCAGTTTCATATCCTGCACGAACAAAAAAGAACAGGAGATTGCAAAAATATCAACTAATAACAAAACATGAAATAAAGAATAGAGCACACAATTTCCATTTTTTTTTTTTAAAGCATCTACTAAGCAAACTAGCATAAATACAAGGATGGTCACACCTCTTTACAAAAAGAAAAGAAACCTCCTCATCTTTTGTATCAGGAGAGACACATGCAAACAAACCAAAAAACAAAACTACCAATCTTTTCTTAAGCGCCAATTGTCTAAAAATCCTGTTAAGGCCTGTCCTTTTAACAAATTCATTGAATGGAGATAACAAAGCAATAAAATCTTCTCGCAGCATTTTACAAGTGTAGGTTGAGCAGCAACACTTTCGGGCACTTACTTAAAATTGAAAGATGATAAAATAGAGACAACCACGTGGCCAATCATCCACTCTTCTATCCCAACACCTTGAGCAGTATAGGGTTCCTGTGAAGAGCCATAACTAGTCCATCTTTTCCTAACAGTCTCCCTTTCTCCTTCAGCCTGTTGTTCTGAGGGGAAATTTATCTTGGTGTAGCTACTACAACTGTCCCTTTAACACTTGTCTAGAAAGTCGACACGTAAAACTGACAGCTGGGTCTGGGAGAGGTCTGGGTCTATCCATGACCAGCAAGACTCTCTCCTTAGAGCATAATATACTACACTGAATATCAAACCCAAAATAGCACAAGACTGAAGTAGTTCGAGTTCGAGAGCCCAGGTTTATTAATACTACAGCCTTGGAACTTTAGAAAATAAACATGTAGTGCACTTTGCTTTCATTTGACTGGAGTCATAGCTGCACAAGTACCCTTCCAAATTCAATTATTAAATTCACACGCAAAAAAATATCACTACTTTATTTGCCACTTTTTAGGAAATCAGTCTTGGCTGGGGTGCAAAACTTCTTCATCAGGACACAACTTAAAGCAAATTGCCCAACCCAGTCAAAATAAAAGTGAATTACAAAGAACAAAATATATACATCGCAGAAATCAAATTAAAATGGTGTAAAATAGTTACGCCATTTACAGCATCTTGTCTCATCAATCTTCTGGTTTTCATAATTATTCCATTTGTGGTCTTAACTTGCTATCATTAGGAACACGGGGGGGGGGAGGGGGGGGGGGGGGGGGACAGAACAAAGGAGGGGTGGTGGATAGTTCTTTGATCTAGGGCAGTAACCATTTACCAACTAGAGGCGCCCAAGGGGAGCAGCTTACTAAAGGCAGTGATAGACCTTGAGGGGAACTTTGCAAAAGTCTGCATGTGGTCTGTTTAGCTAGATCTGGATGGGTCAGCATCATGTTTTGGGGATAAATCAGGAATCTTAGATAAAATTCTTGTTTTTTCCTTGTATTTATTAGCACAAAATCAATCTACTGGCCGATTTTCTATTGAAAATTTTAGAAGCAGGAGACGGGATGGGATGGAGTTAAAACTTGGGACAAAATCAGAAAAAAAACTTTGAAGAGATACACAGTAACTTGGCCCGTAACGCCACACTGATCAAACAAGGACACTTTGCAAGTTCATAAACATAAAACCATACTTTCCCTGTGACCTCTTGCAGCAGAAACAAGACATGGTTTCAAACATCATCACACAAGCAATGAACACATAGCCTACCATCAGACATGATCACTTACAACGTGACAATCTATATATTAATTAGTACAAACATAAAAATAATTCAAGCAGTTATTTTTCTTCATCACTGCTAGTCGCAGAAACACCAGCACTCGACACAAGTGGACTTCAGCTTTATCTACAATATAAATGCACAAATATATTTTACCCCCCAAAAATAATAAAATAAAACAAATTACTCAATTCTTAAATATTGTGCAAGAAAATGCATTACCACCTTAGCATATCCCACACACTGATTAAATAAGATACAGCAGAACTAAACCATCATGGCCAAATGGTGCTGTGCCAATGATGGAAAAAGCAATGCAGATTCCCATCCCTTTGCTGCCAAATTACTTCTTGATCCCCAGTGAGAAGTCACATCAGTAGTACGGCCTCCGTGGATTGTTCTGCAGAAGAGAAATAATAATAATAATAATAATAATAATAATAATAATAAATAATAAATGACATTTATATAGCGCTCAACCCCGAATAAAGTACACAGGCTCTGAGCGCTTTACAATACAGTACATAATACAACAGTAACATAAAACGTGTTCTGACTAAAGAAAATTATTCCTAATATTCATCTTATTAATTTAAACACAGAAACGGACTTCAGCTGACATTTGAATGAATCAAAAGATTTGATCTCTCTTAAAGTACTTGGTAAAGCATTCCAGATCTTGGGGCCTTGGTATTCGAATGCCCTTTCACCCATTGTTTTTAGTTTCATAGATGGTAAAATAAATTTCTTTTTGTCAGCTGATGACCTTAAACTACGAGTTGGAATGTACAGTCTTAACAGATTTGATAAATATGATGGTGCATTATCATTCAAACATTTGCAACACAGGCTGGCCAACTTGTACACTATCCTTTTCTCAACAGGAAGCCAATGCAAAGTTCATAAAAGAGGTATAACAGAGTCTCGCTTTCTTTTCCTTAAAACTAAACGTGCAGCATTGTTTTGGACAGTTTGAAGTCTTTTAACTTTCTCCAATGATATTCCTGATAACAAAGAGTTACAATAATCAAGTTTTGATAAAATTAAGCTAGTTACTAGTAAAGCAGTATACTTAGTATTGATCAGAAGACGTATTTTACTAATTTTTCTTATTTTTCTAAATACATGCAGCTGATCAGATGATTTACCTCACCAACATTGTATATATAATATAATACATATGTATATACAATGTATATATAATATACATAAAAAGAACGTTATTTGACCATCACAAACAAAATGACCATGACCTTTCATTCACTGTCGCAGTAGAATTATGCAATTTTTCAACAGAAGTCAACATAATCCATTTTTCTATGCTATATTTGAATGAAAATGTATAAGACAGAGTACCCATTGGCACCAATTTGACCTTAGGGTCCTTAGCACACAAGAAGAAAATGGATCAACTATAGCTTGTTCACTTTTGATTGTCTACATTAACAAAATTCTAGCTCTAGCTCATTTATTAATTTACCTAAGCCCATGAAACTTTGCATGGCACTTCTGCAGGGCAGCAACCCCAAAAAAAATATTATTAAAAAAAACTCTTGATCCAGTACTTTAAAAAATTTTCTCTTTGAGGCCTATATTAAAAACCACTCTTTGGATCACTAAAATAAATGACTTACAGTAACCAAGCCAACAAATTGCTCATTTTGATACAGTAACACCACCATGTCCTCTCATTTCAGCATAAGGTGTTAGATTTCATCCCCCAGCTGTCTAGACGTACAAGCACCACGTGTCTTGAAAATCACTCACCTCGTTTCTTGAATCGCGTTTCTTAAGCGAACGCTTAAGTGTGGTGCTGAGTAAAATATATAAACTTCTCAATATTTTTGGTGTATGCTGTAAATCCCCTATTATATCTTTTACCCGTTTTAGACTTACATCAAAGAAAACGTGTCGAAACCTTAGTTTGCACAGAACTTTACGAATGGGCTTTTAGATTCTGTTGGTCATTCAACTTTTAGACCCCTATGCAAAGATCTGAGAAGATTAAACAGAGCAATTTCATTTTATCTTGTTTTAATCTCGATCAGACGAAAGTGAACAAGTTATAGAATTTTTTTCCACTTATAAAGAGCCATTTTCCTAGGTGGTCAGTAATTTGCAGAAGTTACAGCAAAGTCCTGACACTTGAGTGAGCATTTTACAAAGGTATGAGTTGTAGGCAGGAGGTGTCTAAGTAACAACAAAACCATGACCTCTAAAACAACTTTTTAGTAAGGCAGAAGTTGAAGCACTGCTAGATGTCTTACTACAAGCAATGACAGATCTAAAGAGTGTCAATGGGTGTAAAACTTCAGCATGTACATTTTAAAAAAATAAAAAAAGCAATTACATCAGAAGAAGAATCACAGAAATCGATGTACAGAAAAGTGGGAAGACCTGGACTAACATCAAGAGGTTAGCCCTGGATAAAGAAAGGAGGAAGGTGTTTGTCTGTGGCCTAAACCCTAGTGAAGGGTGAGAAAGGCAATGATGATGAATGACATCAGAGCGAGACCAGCACAAAACATCACGAGGTGAGAGAGGGAAGCTTGGCTGTGCCTTTTCAGGGGAAAATGTATGAGTAGGTACCTCAAACTGAAATTTCAAAGTCCTCTGATTTCATAGTTAAATGCACCACCTTATAGAATGTATTATTCTGAGTATTTTGATACCAAATCTATACATATAACTTCATTTTTAACAAAGTTATGAACATCTGAAGTTGCAGAAAAATGTTATATTTTTTTATTTGCGAAATGTCTGCACTTTGAGATGTCACAACATTCTTAAATTTGAATGGACATTCACAAAAACTTGTAAACACATACCCATGCACATAGAGGACAAGCCCAATTTTTTTCAGGGCTATCAAATAGCCAGAAGATGGAAATTTATTGACGTAAACATGGCTTTTTGACCAAAATGACAAGAAATACAAGGGGAGGTTAAAATCACCACTCGTGACCACCGGCTTATCGGCCTAACGCCAGGCCACGCTGATGGGAATGAGAAAGATTTTATGCAAAACCGGGGCGATGGCGGCCTGCTTGCGAGCCGATGGGGAGCGTCCGGTATTTATTTGCGTATAATGGCTGTGTTATTCTTGAAGAGGAATGCATGAGCTTTCTGCCGATATATTTACGTAGTCAGTCCGATCACTGGTTCCATAAAAAAACAGCATCGAAAGTTTTCACATATTAATCTCTTCTATTAATTTTTTAAGGACAGTCTTAAGAAATATATCACCGGAAAGAGCGTTTTCTCATAAAAAAATATAGACGAATCAGATTGCAGTACAGTCCGTGCCGGCTTTAAGCACGCCAGCCTTAAGCACGTTTCGGACTCAAGCACGCTAAACGGCTCTTACCGAATATTTGCTATATAAATTACACGCCTTTACGCACGGTAACTTTGGCTTCAAGCACGCTTTATTTACAAGACAGTTAATATTTTCATGATGATCCATCGAAGTTCGAACTCAGTTTACACCGCAGCAGTGGAGTGTGTCAAGAGAAACACAAAGAACGCAAGTGATGGCCCCGGACACACACACACTCACACGGGCGGAGAGGAAGGCAGAGAGATGCACAGTGCGCGCGGACATAAGATCTAGCCTAGGCCTAGGGCAAAGCTACACACGACCAAAAAAAAAAATACAAAGAGAGTCGGGGAGACGAGAAAGGGAGTCTGGCTGCGATTTCACCTTTGACCCTCGCTATCCTTTAATCCTGATTGTGTATCACGCGCGAGGTGGGATGAAGGCGGTGGTATGAGTGGCACAGCGGGCAGTGGTACGCACAGGCAGTGTGTTACAGTAGGCCTAGTGTGCTGTGTCGTGACTGGCCGTCTAAATTAAGTTTTCATTTCCCAAAACAAACAAGCGAACAAAAACTACCATGGCGGGTGTCTAAATAACAGTGCACACTTTTGCGGGACCGCTATAGGCCTAGTTACAAACAAAGGGAAATAGCACGGGGAATTTTCTAGATCTACATGAAATTCTCTGGATTATGTCTACTTCGCACTTAAGCACGCTTCGGCTTTAAGCACGCTTAAGCTTTCTCCCGATGACCGTGCTTAAAGCCGGCATGGACTGTATTTAATACCATACGCTCTCCGTTCCTGTTCAACCGAGGTCACTCAAAAAATCAATAAACGAAACGCGTGGCCACGACAGTGAAAACCTCGATAGTTTTGTCTTTTATCCCATAAGATTTTGCTTTCAAAAGAATCATTGATTCAAATAAATAATACCACTAAAAAGAGGAAAAGCTCCTCTTTCTTCTGATATATCAAGTGTCTGTGTGTATGCATGATCACACGGTGTTTTAGGAGGGTAAAAATATGGGTTTTTGTCTCCGTGACAGTGCGCCACGGGGCGCAAGGCCAGTTTGCGGTACCTAGTATGAGCCAGTGGACATGCTAGAGGAGACAGTTTCATCTGTAGCGGATGCTGGCCTGTAAGTGTAAAGCATATACACATGGAAAGAAGAAAGAAGTAAGAGCTGTAACAGTCCTAACCACAGATAATGCATTACCAGAGGGTTGGGCCGGAATCTGTATGCCAGCATCATCCTTTTTCTGTAAGCATCGTACTCGTCATCTTCCTTTGTGAGCTCCGCTGGCCGGTCAATACCCAAACCACGTCCTTCCACGGTTGTATTCCCTCTGGAAACCACACCATGGAATGGGTAGAATCAGTAAAATGGCCACAAACTAATGTAATTTAAACTGAAGAAAAGCCCACAAACAAGGAGGAAATAGTCTAGAAAAAAGTAACATTTTCACTAACCACTTCAATCAGTGCTTCCAACAGCAGAAGCTTTTCTGAAAAGTAAGGAAAATTCTACCGGGGATCTGGAGCCTTATAGGCCCCCAGCAGGGTCCAGAGACAGTGTCCCTGTGGGAGTTCAGGGGGCAAAGGCCCTTAAGAATTTGAAATTTAGGGCTTTTAGAGGGTTGAAAAATGGCATTTGGGAGCCTGTTGGAAGAGATTGCAGACAACATATGACATCTATTTTTTCACCAAGATTTTGTCTTGTTTGATTTCTCCACCTATAGATCTTTCATTTTCTGGCAATGTTTACAAGCAGGTTCCCCTTGCCATTGCTACTATAATCAGTGATGCCAACAGTCAAAGCAGAAAAGTAAGGAAAGTTCTAAGCTTTTAGAAGGTTGAAAATGGCATTTATGAGCCTGTTTGAAGAGATGGCCAGCAACCTAGAATACCTATATTTTGCACCAAGATTTTGTTTTTTCCATTCTTGATTTCTTCATCTTCATTTCTTTCCCTTGCTGACAATATTTACGTTTAAAAACAAGTTCCCCTTGCCAATGCCACTACAATTCAATTTTCATCGTACCCACTGACAAAAGGAAAACCCAGGAGCATGAATCTTGATGATACAGTCACACGTCACCAAGTGTATACCCTAATAGTCCTCCATTTTTCATGTTAAAAGTGTCGAATGCCACCACCTCAGAACACAATTTACTATTATTCTTGATTCTAGTTATAGTAACAATTCCTTCAGCAGCGGCCATTACTGTGCTCCTGTAGAATCCACACTGACAATTTCTCTAGTTCTAAACATCTGTAAAAAAAAAAAAAAAGATTAATTCCAATAACGATTTTCTTTCTAAATATACAATTCAATTTCTTGGTCAACGCACAGATTTTCCAGCTGCAGCTATGATCCAAAGATAGACATAAAGAATGAGTGACAAGTGAATGAAAGACAGGAGGAAACCCGCACAAAAATATATCACTATCGTGCCAGATTTGGATCGATGCTCAAGTGAAGATGTCGGCCTACGTCAACTGAGCCACAATGAATGTATAGAGGGATAATGGCCAAGTGCAGGAAATGCGTAATCTGGCAGGTTTCTAAAATAACCTATTGCCGAGAATAACTGTAAATATCCAGAACTTAGCAAAGACTACACGGAGACAAGTACTGATACTTTGTTATGGAATATCATTGGCCCTACATGATTATACTTCTTACAGATGGAGTTGATCATGAGGAGGGGGAAAGTAAGGAACTTTCAAAAAGTATGGATATCCGTAAAAAATACAGAAGATTGAAAGCACTGCATTTCGTAAAAATATTTGAAAGGATGTGAAATCTTGGGGGGGG